CTCCCCCTCCCCCTCCTCCTCCTCCTCCTCCTCCTCCTTCCCCTCCTCCTCGTCCTCCTCCTCCTCCTCCTCTGGCTCCTGAGGGCAGCCGGCCGGGGCAGCACACGCGCAGGGTCCCGGGAGATCTTTTGCCTGTTCAGAACCACCCTGGACCGGGTGGTGGTGGATGCAACGAGTTGCTCGCTGGAGCCCTGTCCGCACCAGGCCCGAGTACTGCATTCGGGTATCCCCTCCACCACGCGGTGGTCGAGGGAGGCTCATGGATGCGTGTCACCTGGCACCCTTCGGAAAGGTGCCCGTTGCAGTGGTTCCCGGCCCCATGCGTATTCGGACCAGGTAATCTGCCTGGACGTCGAGGGGGTTTCGGAGTCCCCGACCTGCTGGGCCGGCAGGAGGCGTGGGTCGGGGCATTGGCCTCGTAGTGTGAGCGCCGTGGCGCGTCGCTAATGCGAAATGCTTAGTGCTACGCATGGAGTAGTTGGATCTCTGTCACAGTACACGTCGCTTTCATGTGGCCTCTCCCTGTTGGACGGCAGGTTGTGGCGCTAACATGCTTCTGATTGCAGAGGTTGGACTTGGTGCGTGGAGATGGGCCGTCTTAGGACTCAGCGTAAGCCCCATTGTTGTTGTGTTGTCCGTGCAGTGACACGTCTCATGTGATCCACATTGTGAGACTCCTACTCTCTCCTCCGCTCTCCTCCTCTCTGCTCCTCTCTCCTCTCCTCTCCTCCTCCTCCTCCTCCTCCTCCTCCTCTTTCTCCTCCTCTCGCCTCCTCGTCCTCCTCCTCCTCCTCCTCCATCTTCTTCCTCCTCCTCCTCCGCTTCCTCCTCCTCCTCCTCTTCCTCCTCCTCCTCCTCCTCCTCCTTCTCCTCTTAGGCCTCCTCCCCCTCCTCCTCCTCATCCTCCTCCTCCTCCTCCTCCTCCTCCTCCTCCTCCTCCTCATCATCATCATCATCATCATCATCATCAGCATCCGTAGCCATTTTGGCTCAAGCTGTTTCTCCGGACTTTCGCAGGCGCCCACGCGCAGCGGTCAGCGGCGCGCGACTGGGAGATGAGCAATGGCGACGGGGGGCTGCCCGCAGGCGCGATGGCGGGGCGGCCCACCAGGCGTGGCAGTGCGCTGCGCAGGAAGGAGGAGGCCGAGGTAGGCGCCTCGGCGGCCCGCCGACGGGCGCGGGCGCGGCGCCTCCTCGCCGCCACGGCGGCAGTCGGCAAGGCGGCCAGCGGCGGCCCAGGTTCCTGGCAGGACCGGGAGGCTGCTGCGCGCCCCGCCTTGCGCCGAAGGCGCAATGCGGCGGCGGCGGAACGCCGCGTGGCACGCGCTGCTGGTCCCTGCGGGCGGATTCGCGCGCGCGTCCGTAGCGGGCCTTTCGCGGGCCGCCGCAGGCCCCCGCCTGGGCTGGCTGCCCTCGCTCCCGGAGGCGGCCGCGCTGCCCTTCGGCGACTACGGTGAGGTACCCGACGAGCACTGCCAGGCTCCCGGTGCCATGGACTGCCCAGTGCTGGGCGGCGCTGCCGCCACTGATGGATGGCGGCGCCCCCCCATCGTGAGCTTCGCGAACCAGGTCGTCGCCGTGGCAGTGGACGGCAGCGTCCAGACGGAGCTCCTGGGGGGCGAGGATCACCTCGATCGCCTGCGGCGGGTCTTGCGCCAGCGGCTCGAGGCGGCACAGCGGCCCGCGCTCAAGCCTGCCGCTGCCCTGTTTGCCCCGCTGCCCGAGGTGCTCCAGGTACGGATCGTTGGCATGCTATCCCTGCCCGACAGGCTGCGGTTGTGCCAGGCCTCAACTGGGGTCGCCTGGACCTTCGAGAGCAGCCCCTGTCGGCTCGCGGAGGCGCTGGAATCGGATCTGCGGGACGCGGCGCTCCTGCAGCAGCTGGAGGGCGCAAGGCTGCACAGGGACGCGAACGCCGACGTGGACCTGGGCCGCGGTTTCGGCTCCGACTACCAGCTGGACATGCTGAGGGGGGAGTTGCACCATCCCGCGTCGAACCGCACCCAGTACAGGGCTCTGGTCGCGAAGCAGGCCCAGGACATCCGCTCCCTACGGGAAGGCTGGGCTGCTGCGGAGCATGCGCTGCGGGACCAGCTCGCCACGCTCAGGGAGCAGCTGCAGGCGTACATCGCGATGAGCTCGGATGCGCCAGCGGCCGCGGGCGAGCACAACGACGACGCATCCGATGGCTCGCTCTCGTCCCTCGTGGTGGAGGATCGAGGTGATGATTGCGAGTTCTCCGACGGGTTCGATACTTCCGATGTCCTCCTCGATGGGACTGTGGGCCTCAGGGCTTTGCCTCCCCTGCCTGCTCTCACCGACTGCCCGATCGGTTTCAGGACTCTCACTTGGCTGTGGGACGGCAGGGATCCCACCGACATGAGGCGCATCGCCGACGAGCTGAAGTGGGCGGCTGCGACCCCCGTTCCCGATGAGCTCGAGGGCGACACGGTGGATGTGGTTCCCGAGGGCGCCGCGGCGCCAGGAGTCCACGTGGACGATATCGAGTTGGACGACCTGCAGGCGATCATCCAGCAGCACTGCGCAGCGGGGGGGAGGCTCAGAGTCCCCCGAGGCGCTGGCCCAGCTGCTGCGGGCGACACCACTGCCCCTGCAGGAACTAACGGCGACGGGTTCGGCGACGTCGGCGGCCGATCCGTTCCCTACAGCGGCGATGGCATCGACACAGGCTTCTTGTCTGCAGGCGAGCTTCTGGAGGCGGCGGCCGCCTCGCGGTTGGCCCTCGCAGCGGCCAGCTTCCTCCTCGGGGTGCCACTCGAGGCGCCCCAGGCCTTAGACGCTCAGATGCCCGATGAGGCAATTTGCTTGCCAGTTGTTGCCGCTCTTTATCAATAATTTGGCGCTCGACACGGCCGCGTCGGTCGGCGGCGCTTCACTCTCGTGCCGAGGGGGACCCGTCGCGAAGGCTTCGCACTCGCTGGGTTCTCTCTCTGCTGGCGCCCTCGGTAGGCCGTGCACTCAGCTCTGAGCGCTGGGGTGCATGGCGCACTGATGGAGCGACCAAGGTAGCTAGGCGCACGTGCGCCCGCCCGCTGGGGGGCCTTGGTGCCTTCACGGGATCTGCTCGTGTCGCAGGCGGGTCCAAGGATCACGAATGCCTGCGCCGAGCTGCTGCCTCTGGGGGGGAGGGACCCCGTGGCGTAGGCTGTACCCCGTGGGGCTCGGCACACGCCAGGGTTCACTCCCTCCCGCCCCTCTTGGGCAGCGTCTTACGCTCGGCGCCGTCCGCCGGCTCGCTGCAGAGCAGCCGCAGCGACGCGTCGGCGGGCCCTGGCGTTCTTGCACGGCCGTCTGATGGTCAGCCGCTCCGAGCGCCTTCGGCGCCTCCGTTTAATGTAGCCGCTGGCGCGCCTTGGGCGCGGCAGCCCGCGCAGCTTGCTGCGCTCCAGCCCGCTCTGTGCTCTGTGCCGCGCCAGGCGGAGGCCGAACCGTGGTGGTAGGCTGTGGCCGACCGTCAGGATCGCCTCCGTAAGCCACCTCAGAGCAAGTCGTCCCCGTCTGAGGCCTGGTGCCTAGGGGACTGTTGCTCTGGTGTGGCGCGCCGAGCTGTCTGCGAGCTGAGTCGCCGTGAGGGCTCGGATGCTTTGCTGACCGCCTGCCTTTGGCTGGGGCGGTCGGCGGCCTCAAGGCTTTCAGGCGATCTGCGAGTGTGCCTTGGGCACGGGTCAGGCCTTGCGTCCGCAGCGCCAGAGGGAAAGGCCATGGCTTCGGGAGGCTGTATCGAGCGGGGAGCTCCAGACCTTCTTGGATGCGTGGATCATCATCATCAGCATCATCATCATCATCATCATCATCATCATCATCCGCCTCCTCCTCCTCCTCCTCCTCCTTCCCCTCCTCTTCCCACCCCTCCTCTTCCCCCTCCTCTTCCTCCTCCTCCTCCTCCTCCTCCTCCTCCTCTTTTTCCGCCTCCTCCTCCTCGTCCTCCTCCCCGCTTTCTTCCTCGTCCTCCTCCTCGTCCTCCTCCCCCTCTCCTCCTCATCCTCCTTTGCCTCCTCCTCCTCTCTGGTCCTTGCTTTTCCTCTCCTCCTCGCTCCTCCACCTCCGCCGCTTCCTCCTCCTTTCTCTCCCTCCTCCTTCTCCCCTTCCTCATATCTCCTCTCCTACTCCCCCCTTCTCCTCCTCCTCCTTTTCCCACCCCTCCTCCTCGTCCTCCTCCTCGTCCGCCTCCCTCCTCCTCCTCCCGTCCTCCCCCTCCGCCTCCTCTCCTCTCCTCCTCTTCCTCCTCCTCTTCCTCCTCCGCCTCCTCCTCTCCTTCCTCCTCCTCCTCCTCCTCCTCCTCCTCCACCTCCTCCTCCTCCTCCTCCTCCTCCTCTCCCTCCTCCTTCTCCTCCTCTCTGGTCCTTTTTTTTCCACTCCTCCTCCTCTCTCCTCCTCCTCATCCTCCTTCTCCTCCTTTCCCCCTCCTCCTTCCTCCTCTTCCTCCTCTTTCCTCCTCCATCCCTCCTCCTCCTCCTCCTCCTCCTCCTCCTCCACCCTCCTCCTCCTCCTCCTCCTCCTCCTCCTCCTCCTCCTCCTCCTCTTCCTCCTCGTCATCCTCTCCCTCCTCCTCCTCATTCTCCCCCCCCTCCTCATCGTCCTCCTCCGCGTCCTTCTCCTCGTCCTCATTCCCCTACTCTCCTCCGCCTCCTCCGCCTTCCTCCTCCTCCTCCTCCTCCTCTTCCTCCTCCGCTCCTCCTCCTCCTCCTTCCTCCTCCTCCCTCCTCCTCCTCCTCCTCCTCCTCCTCCTCCTCCTCCTCCTCCTCCTCCTCCTCCTCCTCCTCCTCCCTCCTCCCCTCCCTCCTCTCTCCTCCTCCTCCTCCTCCTCCTCCTCCTCCTCCTCCTCCCCCCCCTCTTTGGTCATCCCTTCTCCTCTCTCCTCCTCCTCCTCCTCCTCCTCCTCTCCTCCTCCTCCTCTCCCTCCTCCTCCTCCTCCTCCTGCTCCTCCTCCTCCTCCTCCTCCTCCTCCTCCTCCTCCTCCTCCTCCTCCTCCTCTTTCGTCTCTTCCCTGTCCCCCCCCCCCCCCCTGGCGCCTCCCCCCCGTCCCCGACGCGGGTCGCCATCGGCGCACCATGAGGGCCCCCGCCGCTGCGGGCGACGACGGCCTGGCCACGGAGGCAGCGCTCGTCCGCGCGCCCGCCCCTGAGACTTCCGTCGGCCTTGGAACGAACCGTACGGAGGCCCCCTCGCGTCGTGAAGCAAATCACGGCGGGGGGGGGTTCGCTATCTTCGGCCTCCGGGGGGGCCCTGCTGGGCCTTGGGGGCGTTGACAAAGACGACTCAGGACAAGCAAAGCGTCCCGGGGAAGGGGTCCAGACCTTTTGGGGTCGACCTCCGTCGGCATTGGAACGAACCGTACGGAGGCCCCCTCGCGTATGGCAAAAATCGTGGAGGCTTCGCGCGGCAACTTCGGACCCAACTTACGTCGGATCCACGTCGGACTCCGGGAACCATGTGGCTGTTCAACTGGCCAAAGCAAATTCCATTCGGTCATGAGCCATTCTTTTCTGGTGATGTGGCGCGGAGCTGACTAGAGTTAGGTCCGACGTCTCATCCAGTGACAACTCTGTAGCTGTGAAACAAACCACGACGGGGGGGGTTCGCTATCTTCGGCCTCCGGGGGGCCCTACTGGGCCTTGGGGGCGTTGAAAAAAACTACTCAGGACAAGCAAATGGTCCCGGGGAAGGGGGTCCAGACCTTTGGGGGTCGACGTTGTGAAACAAAGCATGACGTCGGGAGTCCGGCCCCGAGACCCCCAACGAACCCTGGTACGTTTTCTGGCGAGTTCGTATTCTGTGTTATCGGTCTTGTCGTCTTTCTCCCTCTTCCCCTCTTTTTGTTCCTCCTCCTCCTCCTCCTCCTCCCTCCTCCTACGGATGAGGTGATCTTAGACCGGCTGGCCTCTCTAGGACACGACCGCCGCGTGGGAGCTGCAACGGCTCGTCGATGTGCAGTGAGAGCTCTCTTGAGGGGCAGCGGCTTGTTCGGTGGAAGAGAAGGCCCCCACGGACCCCGGGATGGCGTCCGAATCTTTTCCAGCTGGCGTTCCAACACGGTGTCGAACCCTGGGGCCCTCACAGCTCGGTCTGGCTCGAAGGATGGCGCAGACAGATGGGTCCAGGAGGCTCTGGACGTGATTTTCGCCATGCAGCGATCTGTTTCGCCACGTCGGATCTCAGGGTATCGACCAACCGTGCAGATGCCCCCAGACTTCCAACGCATCGACCAAGTCAAGGAGGTGCATCTTGCCCTCCTGGCCGATGCCTCCGCAGCTGCAGGGTGCTCTGAGTCCTCGCGCGCCCCCGCCTCGTCTCGACGCCTGTGGTAAGTTTACAGTGTTATACAGTGGGTACCCATGCTAAGGAACACCCTGCTTGCCTCCCGGGTGCCCTGGGTTTCTCGGGTTTCGGCTGCTTCGCTGCGGAAAGCGCGACGTTCCCACACCAAAAACCCATGGACGCCCTGGGGTCTCGGGGCTGGGCTTTGTGTGGACTGGCCTCCACCTATAGCGGCCTCGGCGGCGCGCACCAGAGCCCGCGAGGAGGCCACCCCACCGACGTCAGGTCAGATGGCCTTGCTCACGTCGCTCGGCCCCCGTCGGGAGCCTCGAGACGGGGGCCCGTGCCAACGGGGGCCCGCCAGAGCTCCGGACCTAGTGCAGGGCCCCGCAGAGGCCGGGGCTGCATGAGGACCAGGGCCAGCGTGCAGCACTCTCCGCGGGGTACGCCGCAGGACCTGGCAGGACCCCGCAGGCCCAGACTCAGGAGGGAAATATACACACAGACACAATGAATCTTCGATTCCCCAGAAAATTAGAAAATATGGGAAATGGGGGGGAAGACGAAAACCCAGAAAATATATGAAAATATGGGGAATCTTTTTACTGGTGTGTATTTATTTGTGTGTCCCAGGGCCCCTTCACAGACCCCCGGCGTCATGATTTTGTCACGACCCACTGCCCAGGACCGGCTTCTCCGTCCTGGCTCATGTGTTGACGGCCCCGGGGCCCGGTGAGGGCCTCCCGAGTCCGAAGAGAGCCGAAAAACCTCCCGTCGTGATTGTTGTCAGGACTCGAAGGGGGTCTGAATGAGGGCCTCCCGAGTCCGAAGATAGCCGAAGAACCTCCTGTCGTGATTTTTGTCAGGACTCGAAGGGGGTATGGGGAGCCTGACTGCCCTGGGTTTGGATTGACCCGGGCCCGCAGATTCATGACCTCCAGAGGCCTCCGTGGGGCCCCAAAAGCCGGCCTCCGGGGAGAGGAGGGAGGAGGGAGGAGGGAGAGGGAGGAGGGAGGAGGAGGAGGAGGAGGAGGAGGAGGAGGAGGAGGAGGAGGAGGAGGAGGAGGAGGATGAGGAGGAGGAGGAGGAGGAAGAAGAGGAGGAGGAGGAGGAGGAGGAGGAGGTGTGGTCTGGGCTGAGTCAAAAAGGAGGAGGAGGAGGAACCTGGGCCCCGGCGGGCTCTGCGGGATCGCCCTGGCCGGGCTGCCGCCAGCGGAGGGAGCGTGGGCGCGGGCTGCCGGGGGGAGGCTGACCGGACAGCCCTACGAGCTCGAGAGCCCCAGACATGATCGCGTCGTCCCACAATCAGGACGGGAGGTTTTTGGGTATTTTCTGCCCCGTGGGGCCCTCGCCAGCCCCCGGGACCGTAAAAAAATAACCGCATGCCGATGATAATAAAGGGACCCCCCCCCTTCAGTGTTTAGAGTTGATTATCGTCGCCCTATACAAAATTCGAATTGGGCGGCGAGCGCTGAGGCCGAACTTCATTATCACCTCGAAACGCTATGTTGAGATAGCAACATCAAGCGATGTTGATATAGCAACATCAAGCGAAGCGATCACACTTTTCAGGATGTGTCAAGCGAAACCAATAATTTTGGGAGGCAGACTCAAACGAAACGAGCAATGTTCTTATTATTTTTCTACTTTCCTCTTCTTCTTTTATATTTCTATCTGTCCTCACGCTCGCCTGAACTTTTTTATCCCTGGGGTTGATTATCCATGGACGATTGAAGCACATGAGCGACCCTACACGAGCACTTTTAAAAATCAATGTTCATAAAGCGCTTGTAAATTAAAATTGATAGATTTGGAACTTTGGATTTTTCCTTTCTTCGTCCTCTTCTTATTATCCTCTTCTTCTTCTTTCTTATTATTATTCTACTGTATTCTTCTTCTTTTATATTTCTCTCTGTCCCCACGCTCGCCTGAACTTTTTTTATCTCTGGGGTTGATTATCCATGGAAATTGAGGCACATGAGCTACCCTACACGAGCACTTACAACAAAAACAATTTTCATGAGAGATAAGCCATTGTTGAGGATATTTCTATGAAAACTAAACGCCAAGGATGTCTCAAAACGTGCTCGGCTTGGTCTCCTCTTGATCATCTCTTACTTCGAGATTATGCTGAGGTCTGCTGGGCTAATTTTATTATCTCCCCCTGAACCCCGAACTTTATTATCCCCTAGTGTTTATTCTCACGGGCATGAGGTTATTCAGGATGAAAAACCGGTCCCGGGGAAAGGGTCGGGACTTCCATGGACGTCGTGCTGAAATAGCCAGGACGTCGCATGTCTGGGTCGGCTCCTGGATCAGCGGCAACGATAGGAGGGATAGGCCTGGTGTGAAGTCGGGCACCTCCTGCTACAGGAGGAAAAGTCAAACATGGTCAAACATAATTCGGGCGCGATGTTGTCCATTTATGCTTGACTATTCTTGAAGATTGTTTGACTATTTTTCATCATCCTTCAAAAATCCGCCTCAAGGGGGACACGCCCGACCTAAGCCCAGTGGGGCTGCATCGATCCCCCAGTGCTCATGGATCTCCCATGGGGGCCCGATGGCCCCGGGCTTGCGGATTCACGGTCGGGGGCCCATCGGCGATCCATTGGCGATGCATCGCCGATTCCGGGTCGATGTGTCCCGCCCTCTGCCAGTCCGCCCCCCTCTGCAGTGGAGGCCCATGCCAAGAGACGCCCTGCTTGCCTCCCGGGTGCCTTGGGTTCCTTGAATCTCGATGGTGTTGCTGTGGAGGGCGCGACGTCCCCACACCAACAGTCGATGGACGTCCTGGGGTATCAGGGTTCGGTCTCTTGTGGAGGGTTTCTTGTGGTCGGGCTCCTTCTGCATCTTTACCCCTCACTAGAGGCTCCCTGGCCTCGGGGTGTCTTTTCTTCAGCAGCTGCGCCTCACTGAGAGATCGATCCCGCAGGCATCGCCCAAGACCACCGCTGGAGGCCCGAGCCACGTCCAGAAAGCCACCGTTCGAAGAAGGCGGACCCCCATATACATACATACATGCATACACATGTATGCAAGCATGTATGCATGCATGCATGCATGGATGTTTGTTTATGGGTTTGTTTGTATGTATGTATGAACGTATGTATGCAGGCATATACGTATGTATGTATGTATGTATGTATGTATGTATGTATGTATGTATGTATGTATGTATGTATGTTTATATATGTGCAGGTCAGTATGCATGTGTGTGGGCATGCATGTGTATGCATGTATATACATATGTATGTGTGTACATGCATGTATGTGTATGCATGCGTGTATGCATCCATGCATGTATGAATGCATGTAAGTAGTTATGATTGCATGTAAGCATGTGTAGTTGTATGGGTGTATGTATATATGTTTGTAAGCGTGCCTGCATGGATGTATGCGTGTGGGTATGTGTGTATGCATGTTTGTTTGCTTGTGTGCATGTATGCATGTATGTATTCATGCATGTAGGCATACATGTTTGTGTGTATGTATGTATGTGCGTGTATGTATGCATGTACGTATGAGTGTGAATGTCTGTGTGTATGTATGCATGTACGTATCAGGTATGTACCTATGTGTGTATGTATTAATGTATGGATGCATGCATGCATGTATGTATGTGTATGCATGTGTGCAGGCATGCATGGATGTACGGATGCATGCATGTATGTCTGTGTGTGCATGTGTAGGTATGTGTTTATGGTTGTACGCGTGCCTGTATGTGTGAATGCATGTGAGTATGTGTGTATGTATGTGTGTGTTCGCTATTATGCATAGGAGGATGTATGCATATAGTCATGCATATAGGCATGTATGTTTGAGTGCATGCGTGCAT